ACCTCTTGGGACGTATTTTGCAACTTCCAGAATTGTATATAGGGGTACATTTTCATTTAAAAAGGTCCCTTTTTTCTGAGATTGTGTTTTGAGCATGTAAATCCAGAGAGCAGGTCAGTATGGTCAGGGTTCAGACATTTTTTCATGTTTAAAAAAACGATTTAAAGTACTGTCATTGATAACTTACTTAAAATCACATTGCTGACCAACAGCAGTAGCAAGAATGAATGAGATTGTACAGCCATTTCCTCCACTCCACCATGTTGCCAGATTTATGTAATAAGCATCTTGTTGTAGGACAGATTTTTTAACATGTGACAGCATCAATACAGTAATTAAGGCATTACATGCTACATTCTAGACAACTGCGGCAAGCTAAATATACTCTTAAAAGCAGTGTTTATGTAAAAACAAGATGGCCCAGATAACTTCAATGCACAGCTTAATTATAGGCTCATTATTAACAGAGAAAACAGATTATGCTGCTGAATCACTCACACCTCCGAGTGAGCTAAATGTCAAGATTATCGTTTAGACAGGATTAGAGCAATAAGGATTTTAAAGGTGTTATACAGTGGTTGGTGGAATCGGATGTATATTTTAACTGAAGGAGAGAAATGGGGTCAGAGGTGAGATGTGATCTTTGGCAAAACAGAGGAATATTATAAATGCTAAGTTATTCATGCTGAATAGGTGTTGAGATGAATGCTTATTAAGGGATCATAGCTAGCGTGGGTAAAACAGAAGAATAAAACAGGCGTATTATATAATATGTTTCTGGCATACTGAGATAAAGTCTCAAAACAAAACTGAGAACAGATCATATGAATACATGACAGATAAATTAGGCTTCAATTACGAACATAAATCTAATCCAAATTGAAAACACTAAGTGTTACTAATTTTTGCAAGATGACATTTATTGCCTAAACTATCCAATATAGAGAGTTTCTTACTTTCATTAAGAACATATTAGTCCAACAATAAATGAATAGTTCCTTTAAAATCACAAAAGTATATCATTTACTCATGTCATTCTAAACCTTGACTTCTTTTCTTGTGGGGAAAATGAAAATGCACTCATAATTCATTCATTCTCCTTCAGCCAGGGGCGGACTGGCCATCTGGCAATTCTGGCAAATGCCAGAAGGGCCGGACCAATTTTTAAATGTGGGCCGGTCAGTTTTGTTTTTTTTTAAATAGGTATTGTTTTTAAGTGCAGACAGCTTTTATCTCTTGCTAGATGCTATTACGTTGATGATAATAATAATAATAATTAATGTTAAGCATTTGGCCCAATCGGCAATTGCCGCCTGGTTTCAAGATGGGCCGACCCAATCCGAGGTTACCTGGACATAATCAAAATCTGGCAAGAATGTCATATTATTTCACCATCTGTACACCAAAATTAATAGTGAATGTGCGTGTCAGTGGGTGTGGTAATTTGTGTGGCTACAGTGCTAGGGCTGAATTTTTGTCCCAGTCCGCCCCTGCCTTTAGCTTAGTCTCTATTTCAGAGGTTGCCACAGCGCAATGAACTACCAACTATTTCAGCATATGTTTTACGCAGCGGATGCCCTTTCAGCCCCAACCCAGTACTGGGAAACATACATACACACTCATTCACACACACAACGGACAATTTAGTGTATTCGATTGACTTACTGTATAGTGCATGTCTTTGGACTGGAGACTGGAGCACCCAGAGGAAACCCAAGTCAACACAAGGAAAACATGTAAACGCCACACAGAAATTCCAGCTGGGACTTGAACCTGCGACCTTCTTGCTGTGAGTCACCGTGCAGCCCTGCACACTATATATGGAAATAGACACGTACGTAATACATAATAATAAACTCACACGTAAATATATGTTGTATGTATAGTTATATTTTTATACTTGGTGCTGAAAGAACATCTTCCATTTTTATTATTATTTTGGATATTTACAGAAACAGTGAGCTTGTTGGAAACCATGTTTCAGTGTTCTTTTTGAAAATGAACAGAACATTGAAAACATAAGCATTTCGATAATTTGATCAATTCAATTTCATTAGTATTTATTGCAAAAGAAACACAATATTTCACTTTTGAATTACAGCTGATTTTGGGACGAAGCAGTGGCGCAGTAGGTATGTGCTGTTGCCTCACAGCAAGGTCACTAGGTCGATCCTCTGCCTTTCTGTGTGGAGTTTGCATGTTCTCCCTGGGTTTTCTTCAGGTGCTCCGGTCTCCCCCACTGTCCAAAGACATGCGGTCTAAGGTGAATTGAATAAACTAAAATTGGCCGTAGTGTATGTGTGAATGTGAGTGTATGAGTGTTTCCCAATATGCAGCCAGACGGGCAACCGCTGTGTAAAACATATGCTGGATAAGTTGGCGGTTCATTCCGCTGTGGTGAGCCCTGATGAATAAAGGGACTAAGCCGAAGGAAAATGAATTAATGAAAAGAAAAGAAGGTATTTGGAAGAATGATGTAATGAACAGCCATTGATTTCCGTAGTAAGAAAAAATATGACTATAAGTTTCCAAAATACTTCAAAATAAAATAAAAAAAGTTGTGCTCAGTAGAAGAACAAATCTCAAACAGGTTATGGTGAGTAAATTCATTTTATTCTTTGGAGAATCATCTGTTTGTCTATTTTTTCCCTTCTTCATGTTTACACAATCTAATGTAAAGTCCAGTATTAGTCCAGGGCAGTGGTCACCAAACTTGCTCCTGGAGGGCCGGTGTCCTGCAGATTTTAGCTCCAACCCTAATCAAACACACCTGGACAAGCTAATCAAGGTCCTATTAGGTATACTTGAAACAACCAGGCAGGTGTGTTGAGGCAAGTTGGAGCTAAACCCTGCAGGGACACCGGCCCTCCAGGACCGAGATTGGTGACCCCTGGTCCAGGGTGTTTTTCATTTGTGAGTTGCATGTGATGGCAGTGATTGGGTCTGGTGGGAATATGAAGTCAGGTATAAATTCTCTGTAGTCTCAGGGTGTGAAGACTAGCTTCAATGAATGCTCATTAAGTGCAACTAATTGCCACTCATCGGCCCTGAGGATGAGCTGCCTCAGTGACCTAAAGGACCTATTTAAATAAACTCAAGAAACACCAATGTGATAAAACAAATTAAGGCTTCGTTACTAAAATTTATGTTTTTTTTAATCATTTGATGAATGCCAAATAATGGAATATAGGCTAAATAATACTTAAAACGCTTAAAAAAAAAAAAAAAGTCTGCCTATATTTTAAATGATGACCCTTTTTTGAATTCATTCATTTTCTTTTCAGCTTAGTCTCTTTATTAATCCGGCGTCGCCACAGCAGAATGAACCGCTAACTTATCCAGCACGTTTTTACGCAGCGGATGCCCTTCTAGCCTCAACCCATCTCTGGGAAAATGACCCTTATTTTTCTTTTAAAAAACATTTAGTGCTTATATTTATTTATTTGTTAACAAAGCATGTATTTTAACTGACAAGAAGAAACGTGTTTGAACCTCTTTTTCCTTATTATTTTTTTATTGAATACAATAAAATAATCACTGCGTTGAAGAGAAAAATAACAAAAGTTATGAACGAGAAAGAGGGAAAAAATTTGTCTGTCATTAAGAAAAAAGATAAAAAGCTTTAAGAAACATTATTCTTCTTATTATTACTATTAATAATAAGCTTAAGAGATTCAATATTGAAAGAAATTCCAGCAAGGAAAGTATTAAAACTAGGTATTGCCCCTAATTCTTATTTATGTATTGCTTTATTTTTATGATGATGTCATCTTATTGACAGCATATTGGATGTTGTCTGTCATGCATATAGTTCATTATAAACCGCTCCATCAAAGTATTAGAGTTGAAAAAGGTTTCAAAAATCAGATTAGGCAATATATAAACATAATTTTGATTCTTATAGTTTAAAGTAAATATAGGTATGTGGTAAATATATAAATATATTTAGAAATATATTTTGCTAATTTTTACATACATTTATATCTGTAAAATCCATACATGAACTTGTGTGTTAAACATGAGATTTGCATATATTGCCAAACAGCATTCGAAGTCCGAATCATTAGTCCCCATTTGAATTTAAAAAAAATTTATCTTAAATGATTTTAAAAGAGAAGGAACATTTTATAGTATGTCTGATAATATTTATTTCTTCTGGAGAAAGTCTTATTTTTTTATTTTGGCTAGAATAAAAGCAGTTATTACCTTATTTCTAAAATCATTTTAAGGTCAAAATTATTAGCCCTTTTAAGCTGTATTTTTTTCGATAGTCAGGCCATTGTTATGCAATAACTTGCCTAATTACCCTAACCTGCCTAGTTACCCTAATTAACCTAGTTAAGCCTTTAAATGACACTTTAAGCTGTATAGAGGTGTCTTGAAAAAATATAAACAGGGGCTAATAATTCTGACTTCAACTGTATCAGATTTCTATAAGAGTTTCTGCAGTGCTTCCACAGAAAAAAATAATAATTTAGCTTAAAAAAAGAACATTTTAGCCAACAGTAATTAAAATAACCATAAACTTTTTTCCTCTAAAAGAACCTTTGTAAAATTAAAGTGTTCCATGAAAACAGTATTGTTAATAATCATGTGTTCGCAAACACACAAGGAATTTTTAATAGTCTAGTGTATTTTTTGTCTTCTTATTACCAACATTTGAAATCAAATTGGCTAAACATTAGCCAACTAAAGTGTTGACATGCACCTGCTCAATTATGAGAAATCAATTCTCCAAATAAAAAAAAAAAGAAAAAGAAGCCTATAAACAGGCTCAGCATAGTCCACCCTCAATAATTATTTAAAGAATTTTATAATATCATTAAGTATCTGTCGTGTAAATGTGAATATTGTATTAGACGAGTTGTTGGGGCCAATATATAGTACATGATGTCAGTGTCCTCTGGTGGTAGCTAGTGTTCATTGCATCCACAGCTCTAGACTACGAATGAAAGATGATGTTTAAACGCAAAAAGAAAGCAGCAACAACAGCATGGAAATAAATTAGAAGATAAATAATCTTTATTTGACATGTCTTTTTCATATATATAAAATTATGTATCCACAATTAATATTACCAAGGCGTTTACAGAGAATTCTTTCTCAGTAGTGGGTGCAAAGCTCCAGCCGGTTTGTGCGCAGGCAGAAAGACAGCTGTCCAGTCCGAGTGAATCATCTCAGGACCACGAATGGGGAGAAATCGACGACACTACAATCTCTTGTTTGCGCTCCTGATTGTCAACCTTTCCGAAGTGTCCACAACGAACAATCAAGCACGTTTCAGAGTGAAAACATTCAGTATCGTTTGATGAAAACGTTTCGCGGGAGAAGCACCAACAAAAGGCATTCAGTAACGTTAAGGAATATTACTCGAATCGGTTTTAAATATGGATTGAAATAGATACAAAGTGGACGTCCAACTTTCCGCGTAACATTTCAAATCTCTGGAGGCACAAATCCCACACCAAGCCCTTCAGGAGAACAACTTCCGAAGTCAGTAGGCTATATTGACTAGTGGACGCCACTCTGTGTAAACCACACAAATCAAACAGACAAACAAAAACAGAGAAACTGAAACTCCTCAGACATTCAAACCCAATTATAGTTGCAAAAAAATGATCATTAGCACAAATCTTATCTTTATTTTACAAGTCCTAAACTAAATTTAAAAGACACATAAACCCCTGCAACCTTTAAAACAAACTGTAACAATGAATAAACAACCGCCACTATTCTACAAAATAGTCTCAGTTAGGTGAACGCTGAAAGAAAATTCAAAAGAAGTTTTGCAACTGCTCTCTCCCGGGTGATGATGATTTTTCATTATTTAAAAAAGAATTAAATATACTGTATAGGTTATTAATTACAGTAACAAGGTTCCATGCAATCAGGTATTTCTTTTTTTTCCTGTACTGTACAAGAGTTCAAGAGATCAGTAGTTATTAGCAAGGCTGTACAAGCCCACACTTTCTATTGGTGCAGATGCTAGTGTGATGAATATGAGCGGCCATGTTGCCTCGTGTCAAAACGCTGACCCTAAAGTTAGCTACTAACTATAAGTGTAGCACATGAGACACAGAGCTTGCCTGTTTAAAATAGCATTTACACCACTCACATTTGTTACTGGCAAAACAGATGATTCGAAGCTGTGACAGAAGGACACCATTGTCACAGCTAGCAAGCGGACAGAGACTTTTCACACTGCGCTTTTAGCATATTGACACCAGGCACAGGCGTAGCTGCTTTGCCAATTCGTCTGAAAACAGCACACCAGCATTACCCAACAGATCGATGAGGGCATATCAAACCCTTAACAGCAAAACTGACAAAGCTAAACCACCTGGGTTCTTTCAGTCGAATACATTATTACTGTGTTAAAAAAAAAAAAAAAAAAGTAGCCAAGTTCATCAAGATTGCAAGAAAAGCACTAGCGGTAGAGAATCCTCCCTTTGTGGACACGACGTGTTCATGATGATGATGATGGAGGATGAAAAACGTGCAAAAGAAAAAGCAATTCGGCAGCATTAAAGGAGCACGAAAAGCCTTGCTAGCAAGCAGCAAGCCAAAGTACATTCAAGTGAGACCCCTTTACTCCCTAAAGAGGGTGCGCGAGTTTGTGTCTGTGTGTAGGAGAGGGAAAATCAAAGCAGTCTCTGCAGGTAATGCTGCAAACCTGGACTGCCCTCAGTGAACAAAACCCTTTCTTTCCTCCTCTTCCCTCTCATCACTTTCGAAACCTGCAGTGGATAGTAATACTTACATCATGTGGCAGGTTGCACCATGTTTGGATTGAATTATTACTAGTGTTCAAGTGGAGTTCACTCTTTTACAGAATAGAGGAGGAAAAGTCTGAGGCACATTAGTTCACTTATTCGCTTACTGTTGTTACGGTTGTTGATTTCAATCGATTTCTGCGCAGTTTTGAAATGTTTTACAGTTAAAATTCACTCCTTGGCCTTCTATTTCACAATCCTAAACCGTAAGTTCTCAGTTTTCAGACTAAAACAATTATAATGGTCATGTGCAATACAAAGTATTTGCTGCCTGGTTTAGCCTTGTGTAAACAGTTATTTAAAAGAAACATCCAAAAGAAGAGAGGAAAAGAGAAACTGGAGCGACCACTTAAAGAAACTGGCCATTCTGTCCGAACAAACATTCACACATTAAAAGACACCCAAACTGGCATCTTCATCCTCTCTTTAACATTTCTGAATCTATCTTTGTTGTTTATTGTACTTTCTGGCCAAATTATGATTAAATCCCGCTTGTTATTAACCCGTATTACCCAAATGTTCATCCTTAAACGCTCTTCCTCTCCAGTAAACCGCACTACTATGTACAGCAAGTGTGTGAAAGCTAAAAAGCAAGGTAAAAGAAAACATATGGACACACAACGGCTTGACATGATTGAATTAGGCCCATGCACATGCCTACACGCACACAAACACTCACGCCTAAACTCTCAAACACACACAAAGTAACAAACTACAAGCCCTGCTTGTTTTAGTGGTGGTTAGACATGCAGAGAAGACACATGATGAGAGATTTCTAGAGGACGAGTGATGTGTGTGCATGTCTTAAAAGCATGGAGGAAAAAGGCAGGGGTGAGTGTGTGTGTGTGTGTGTGTGTGTGTGTGTGTGTGTGTGTGTGTGTGTGTGTGTGTTCATGTGTGCTTGGAGGAAGTCATCCTAAAATTTCAGCTGCCGATTCTTCCTGTACCTGTCCTCCTCTTCACCTGCAGAGAGATAGAGAAATTATGAAGTGCCTCCAGGAGATGAAGAGCAAAATGCTGAGGTAATTCCAAATGGACAGACTGTAGGTTGAGAAAATACCTTTCAAAAGACGAGAGGGGATAGTTAAACTGCCGGAGGAGAAACAGATCAGAAGAAACAAAGAAAAAAAATGACAATACAGTCAGTATAAAGGAGACAGAAACATGACTGGAATATCAAGAACAACAGCCACATCAGGGACAGTCGTGGACACAGAAGTCACACGATGAGAGAAAAACATGTCCTTGTAGACAAGCTGTACCTTCTAAGTGGTGGCGGGAGATGTACTTAAGTGCTTCGTCCAATAGGATGACAGGAATTGAGATCTTGAAGACAATGATCCATTGGGAAAAATGCAGTGGAGTGACCTGGAAGATCAGCTGAGAAACGCAAGATGATATCAAATATCAAATAAGAGAAAGTGCAAATGGCAGAAAAAAAAATCTATATTGTTTTTGGTAGTTTCAAGTATGCATGTACACATCTGAAGTGAATAAATATGGAGACAGAAATGGAGGAGACCAGGAGTAGTTGAAATTATTAAAAATATTATAATTACAACATTTTGATTGATTGAGATAAATGTCAACAAACCAACAAAGAAATAAATTACGATAATAATACAATAGGGTTACTGCAGAAGCATGAAGAAGGACTTTTAATTTGTCAGTAACCTGGGTCAAGCGCTTCTGGTGAACTGTATGCAGCAACAAAATCAGCACGTTTAAGGTCTGTTTTCTTAAAAAATCAGCGATCTTCACTGTCTATATGATATACGCAATGAAGTGGGTCTCAGAATGTACAAGAAGCACTGCATTAAATGATAATTTCCAACGTCATGTGTTTAAAATATTTACATTTATTTTATTCCAATATTTTCAATTGCCATTTCTGCGCTAGCCTGCTGATCCTGAGAGTCGTGTGCATGTTAACGGCTTTTCATCTCGGTTTTTGCTTCAACAACTAAATGAATGCTGAAGTCTATTTAACTGATTATTTTTAATTACATTACAGCATCGATACTCTAAAAGGAACCGTTTAAAATTGAAAAAGTCACATTATCTGTTTACTGGAAGTTTATCGATATGGGAAGAAACATTAGCTCTAAATATATCCTATTGTCCTGGGGGGGAAAAAAAGAGTATTATTATTGTTAAATTATTATATAAAAAATATTATAATATCCTAATTAAAAGAAAAAAACAATAAATAAAAAAACAAAATAGTAGAAATAGTACTATTTACAACTAGTAATACCAATTTAATACTTATATGTATGCATATCATAAACTGTTAAAATAACAACAAAAACTTATTTGACATTAGATTTGTAAATAACTTTTACATTTGTGTGGGTGCTTGAGTTTTCAGGTGCATGTTAGAAGTGACTCAAACTCACATTGCTTAAAGAGATGGAGTTGCATTAATTGTATAATTCCAGAATTAAGAGCGTCTGTGCTCCGCATCTCACGCCTTCAAACGCCACAGCATGTTCATTGCATGTCAGGATTGCCTTCTGAGGTGCAAGTCATTTATTAAATGAAGAAAAAATTGACGCAGCTTCTCCTACTGCAGCAAATTCTGCTTTTACTTTTGATATTTGGCCAGTTAGTTAGGAAGTGATGATTTTGTCCACTCGTTGGATGGAAACGCTGCTTTATTCGCACGTCTTTTATGCGATATTCCAGTTTTGTGCAAAAAGTTAATCCGCATTTTTGGATGGAAACAGCTACTGAAACCTCCAATAGAGACAGAGATGTTGCGCAATCTTCTATAATGTTGCTAGAGTTGGTTTTATGTGCGAGCGATGTATATTGCATCACCAAAATTGATTGAGGTCATGTCCATATGTTGTGCGATAAGTCGATATATTGGTTATTGTGACAGGCCTAGTTTGGAATGAAAATATATAGTATGTGTGTAACCATCGCTTAAATTAGAAAATATATTACTCACAAATGAGCGATCTCTGCAAATAATTACATTTGCCTTAAAACCTAGTTTATTCCTCCAGTTGTCCCGTTGTACAAGTTGATTATTCCTTGGTGAAACAGAAAGAAGAGTTATTGTGCATTTCACTCACCGGCAGAGGCTCCACATGCAGGATGAGGAAGTGTAGAGACAGGGAAAGGATTATGGCCCCCAACAGCCATATGTTGACCCAGGGTGGCATCCTCAGGAGAGACTGATTTTCTGACAGACTGAAGAAGAGAACATTTCAACGTCAGTGGCCATGGGTCTTAAATAATTTTTTCAAATCAATGGGGTATATGGACACAACATTTTTTTTTTTCAGTCAGACAGCCCAAATGCTCTTGGTGAACTGTCTTTCCATCGCAAAATTGCCACGTTTCTTTACAAATCAGTGATCTTTTAACTGATTGTATTTAAATTACATTACAACACTGATGCTGTAAAATGAATCTTTTAAAATTGTAAATAGTCACATTGACCTTTTACCAGAAGTTTATGATTGGCTGAAAAACAAAAGCTGTGCAAATAGGCCATTACCATATAGTCATTATTTAGTCGGTCAAATTACTGTGATACATGTACGATACACAAAGGTTTAATTTTTATGGTCATTCCCAATGTCTGATATACACTTTTATATGAAGAAAGCTTGTGCTACAAATTGCTCCGAAGGCTTGCAAGGCTGTGGATTAAAGCTAATAATGTTGAAATAATGTTTCCTTCACAGACAGGCCAATTCGTTTATAACTCCTTGTATTGTGAGGAGCTACAGGTATTTGTTTAGTTTTACATTCATTCATATGCATAGAATGCATGTGCATTCTCCTAATCATTGGTTCATGAATCATTGATTAGCATTTCATGAATCACTAAGTTTTAACAAAAACTATTGTTTTTTCCTTACAAAAAAAGGTCACCTACATTTTGGATGGCCTTCGGGTTAGTAAACTAAATGGCACATTTTCATTTTGGATTGTACTATAATTTCAACACAGAAACTGTAATCATGCGCATTTGCTTTGGTAAAGGGCACGATGAATCATCTCTTTACAGGAGTGAACCTGTAACCTAGAGAACAAGCTCAGATGGAAGTAACCATAACACATAGGTCAGTTATTTAAAAGCTGACATCTGAAGCAATGTAAAATCTTTTTTCTGAAAGGGATAGTTCACCTAAAAATGTATATTTAATTATTTCACTCACCCTCAAGTGGTTCCAAACCCTTTAAGGGTTTCTTTCTTCTGATAAACACAAAATCTACTCTCCGATAAACAAAAAATTTTGAAAAAAAAACAGGGGGGCTAATAATTCTGACTTCAAGTGTATATATAACTAAGCCAGTTCGCAATTGCCTATCCTGAAGCTGGGATTCTGTGCAAGAACACCTGTGACCCTGTATATCCGAAAGCAAAGCAGGCTACATGCATCACTTTTTTTATTCAAACTCAAAAATAAATAAATAAAATAAGAAGAGACACCATGGTTACCAACTTTACTCTGTTTACAAAAAGTCCATAGTTTGCACGGATGCTGGCACAAATAATTAAAAAATAAAAATTCTGCAATCATTTACTTATTCTGCACTTTGAAAAATGTATGCTACCCTTTTTTTTGTTCAACACAGAAGAAGTTGGAAACTAGTATCAGTTGACTTCCATCCATGGTATTTATTCCCTCGCTATGGATGTCAATGAATACAACCTTAAAAATTTTGTGTAAGGGAATGACAAGTAAAATACAATTTTTGAGTGAACTCTCCGTATAAAAACTGTCATAAACTCTGCACAGCTCCACTGAGCTAATAAGACATCTAAAATGTGTTTTAACAAAACTAGTTGGACGTATTGAAAGAGCACAGTTGGTGCAGTGCCATCACCATGGCAGCAGGTCTTACCTGTTAAGAGCGTTGAACATCTCGATGGTAACAAGCACAGAGAGAGCCATGGTGGTTGGGTAACGGGACTCGAAGACCTCGCAGTTTATGCCTTCAAACATGGGGTTTTCCTCTGTACACTGCATGAAGTGTCGCTAGACATGAGAACAAAACAGTATTAGGGCTGTAGAAATGTAATCAGGCACCATCCTGAAGATCTGATGTGTTTGTTTTCTAAGTGGATGTACACGTATTGGGCAGGACATTGCTGATGAATTGGGTAGAAAAAAATATAAAGTAATTACTAATAATCATACTTTAACAGCTGTATGGTTAAATTGAATTGATAGTTAACCAAAAATAAATTAAAATCTGTTATCATTTACTCTGCCTTTACTTGTTTAACAGAATACATTTTTTCAAACTGGTTTGGAACAAGTCAAGGGTGAGTAAACGATGACAGAACTGTCATTTTTGAGTTAACTATCCCTTTACGAATTGCAATCATTTTTAGTATTACAAGTTTTTTATGTTTGAATTTGCACAAGGGATTGTTTCATTAAATAATCACACATTTGCATACATTTCTAGCACAAAAATCTGAACACTTGATAGTCTCGTTTAAATCTGGTTAACCTTTGACATTATAATCAAAAAACTTTTACACTAGCTTTTGAGCATCTCTTTATCACTTCATTATATATTAAGTAAAAATTAAAATACAGCAACCAGCTAAAAAACAAAAAACGTTTCAGGAAATTTTAGAATTAAAATTAGTACAGTTGAAGAATTGTTAGCCCCCCTTTGAACTTTTTTTCTTTTTTAAATATTTCCTAAATGATGTTTGACAGAGCAAGGAAATTTTCACAGTATGTCTGATAATATTTTTTCTTCTAAAGAAAGTCTTATTTGGCTACAATAAAAGCAGTTTTTATTTTTTAAACACTATTTTAAGGTCAAAACTATTAGCTCCTTTAAGCTATATTTTTTCGATAGTCTACAGAACAAACCATCGTTATACAAAAACTTACCCTAACCTGCCTAGTTAACCTAATTAACCTACTTAAGCCTTTAAATGTCACTTTAAACTGTATAGAAGTGTCTTGAAAATATCTAGTCAAATATTATTTACTGTTATCATGGCAAAGATTAAATAAATCAGGTATTAGAAATGAGTTATTAAAACTATTATGATTAGAAATGTGTTGAAAAAATCTTCTCTCCGTTAAATAGAAATTGGGGGGGGGGAAATAAACAAGGGGGCTGATAATTCTGACTTATCACTTATCATCAAAACTTCAACTAATCATTCAGATTATGTCTGAACATATTCTCTGTAAAGAACTTCAGAAAACAGATGTGAATAAAACTAAGGTTTGGTGTACATCTAAATGCATATAAGGTAAATGCTACTGAAGTGATAATGTGTTGCACAGTGCAGGTAAAAACACAACAAACTTTTTAAAAACTTAATTTAAATTTAAAAAAAGGTTTTAGCAAATATAAACACCACTTTAATGTGTTTTTACATCATAAAAAAAAAAACAATTTCTGGAAAAAAAGCCCAAAATCTTAAAATTGACAGGTAATGTAGATGAAAAATGTTATCTTGACATAATCTGAAAAAAAGGTAAATATATTGGCCACATCAGATCAGCTAGAGCAGTGAGACAGGAAATCATTTGACCTACTGATAGCAGTGACGGTGACCTGTGATATCAGAAAAAACAGCTGTGTGGATCATCCTGTGAGATCTGATCTTACTGACACTAAACAGCTGTGTCTTTATTTTAAAAACGGATGACGGAGAGAGCCACATACTCACACAAGCCTCACAGGATAGTTTAAGATTGTTATTGTGGTAATAACCAACTATTACTGTTTGTTCCAAAAAATATCAACCTTCTTAATGAACTGGGGCTTCTTAAACTTTAATCACTGTTATAATACATGTTATAATATTGTCTTGTTCAAACTTTGCTGACACTAATGGCTTATTCACATTATGCAGTACAATAGATATTTTTGACTATAAATTTGTTTTTGTTTTTACTTAAAAATTAGCAAGGATGTATTAAATTGATCAAACATGCCAGTAAATACATTTATAGTGTCTCATTAATACTATAATAAATCAGTAAATGTTCTGATGTTAAAAATTAAAAATATGTTAGAAATTAAAATGGTCGTGCCCAACTGAGTCTGGTTCTCTCAAGGTTTTTTTTCTTCACTCCCATCAGGTGAAGTTTTTTTTCCCTCTCCGCTGTCACCACTGGCTCGCATGGTTCAGGATTGGTAGAGCTACGCATCGATGAATTGGCTCTTCAGTGTTTGAACTCTCAGTAATGATTAAATCACACTGAACTGAGCTAAACTGAACTGAACTGAACTTAAACACTAAAACCTGAACCACACTGTTCCAGTTACTGAACCACACTGTTCCAGTTACTATGACCATTTATGTGAAGCTGCTTTGACACAATCTACATTGTAAAAGCGCTATACAAATAAAGCTGAATTGAATTGATGTTTCTATTGATCATTCATCAATGATAGTTGTTTCTTAAAACACCAAATTAGCAAATCAGAATAAATCGAGGATAGAATAATCACTGCTCAAACTCAACACTACCACCAAAGGAATAAATCAGAATGGAAAGAAATATAAAAAAAGAAAACAACAATTTTAAAATCTAATAATGTTTGCAATGTTACTGCTTCATAGTATTTTTAAATGAATAAATAAAAACAGACTTGGACTTTTTTGTTAGTTAGCTTCTTTTTCTGATTCTTGTTGATTACACTGAATTTTTATTTGAAACAATCTTTTGAATATAGTTTTTGTATCCACATTTTAACATAAAAACAATAAAAGAATCATACGACACTGAATACCGAGGCAAAGACTGCAGAAAATTCAAGTTTGCCTTCACCGAAATTAATTGCCTTTTAAAACAGAAAACAATTCTTTTAAATTGTAACAATAATATCACTGAAATTTGTATTTTAAAAAATGCACCATCAAGAAATATAGGGACGTCTTTAAAAAACTTGTAAAAACTGCACATATTTGCACATTTATTTTACTAATTTGTTCCATATTTAATTCTTTAGTGAATTAAAGTCTTTCCCAGTGATGGATGGAGTGCATCTGCTGCGTAAAACATATGCTGGATAAGTTGGCGGTACATACTGCTGTTGCAGACCCTTGATTAATAAAAGGACTAAGACAAAAGAAAATGAATGAATTAATTGTTTAAAGTCATAATATTTTGTATTAATTCAGCAGAAGTGTATTTATAATTGTAAATGTGTTGGAATGCTTAAATGTTTGATAATTTCTTATGGTGTTCTTTAAGACATTAATATGGAAGCGTGTGACTTTAAAGAAAATGACATGTAATGCAAGTGATGTGTTTATGAGTCGCTGAATAGACTAACTACGAATGGACGCATGTCAATGCTGTGTTAAGTTACGTGTTTAAGAAGCTTAAAGTTACTGATGTTTTAAGTCAAAAGGACAATAAAGAAGATTTTATTAACCGCTTCTTATGACAAGTGACCAACAAGATATTTGTTTTTCTTGTTTAATGTATTAGATTATCGTGGTTTGTATAATTTCTTATTTTTTTGTAGTGTTTATTTACTAATACAGTTCGTCAAAGCACATTAAGAGGACAACCTTAAAAATAAATGTCCGTTCTGAAGAACCAACCTGTGTCTGTGTTGTTGTGAAGAGAGTTACAATACAAATACATACTACTGTATCTGCACACATTAACGTAATATGTCAGGTCTCACTGTTAACTCACCAGCTGGTAAAAGGACACCTGCGGCCCGTCTTCATCAAACAAATACCACCAGGTGGCAGCACTGACAGTGCCTAAACCCACATATCCTAAAAAAAACAAGAATATAATGAGTGACTTGCAGGTTTCAAATAAGACCAGTTAAGTGGACTAATATGACCAAACAGCACACTCAAAATATTGCTCTAACCTCCAATGGCTAGATATCTGAAGAAAAGCCAGCCTGAGATCAGAGGCTCTTTCGGGTTCCTGGGTGGCTTGTCCATGATGTCCAGGTCAGGCGGGTTGAAGCCCAGAGCAGTGGCAGGCAGTCCATCCGTCACCAGATTCACCCACAGCAGCTGAACAGGGATCAGCGCCTCAGGAAGGCCAAGGATGGCTGTGAGGAAAATACTGAGAAAACAAGGAAACCCAGGTGAGTGTAAATGTGGATGACAAACTGAAGATCTGCAGCAGTCAGACTGTCACTCATCACTAGAGCTGGGTGCAAAAAATTATTTGTTGTAAAGAAGTCTGATTTAATACTCAATGTATAGGGCTTTAAGTTTCTGTCTTTTCCCCCCAAGTGCACAAATGATTTAGGAGAAGCAAGATAGAGCAGATATTTCAGTGTCAATGAGATTATTCTGTAGGTTATCTGTAAACATATCTGTGCATTACAGACAGAACTGCTTGTACACAGAGAAGCAGCAAAGACACATTGATGAATGTGAATTGAGTACTGTAAAAAATCTAGTTCCATATTAACAATAACATATATAACTGAGAAGTATATTCTTTGTTTCAGAAATGTCATTTCATCCAAAACTCTAGCAGCCCAGGTGTGAGAGACATTTAACCAGATCCCAAATTAATGCAATTGCTAAGGGCAGGGTACCAACGACTGTGCTTTGTCTCCATGTATGACTGAACAACACTTTTAGGCTGAATTAACATTAGTAAAGTCGACTGTTTCGCTGATTAGGGTGCCTGGATAAGTTCTTTCAACTATAATTCACATTTACATGCACTCCACCTTAACGCTGCCCATCTAAAACATGTACAATACATGTACAACACTGCTCAAGTCAGATTCTTGTAGACGTCTTTGAAGATGCTGTTTAATTCACATTCTTAATAAAGAATTCAGATTGACACGAGTCTCCGGGTTTGGGTTCTGAAATTTCCTACAGTACGAAACAGTTAAAGAGTCATTAAAGCAACATCGTGTAAGGTTTTTCCTTATAGCTCCCCCATGTGGTGGAAAAGTGCAAATGTCTGTGATCCTGTCACTGTACAAGCATCCCCTTGGCCAGTGCAAAGCACAAGAATTGAATAGCATTAAGCTGATGGAACTGGCAAATGCTGAAATCCTAGTTTGGAAGCCATGTCCCACTGACCAGGTAAAGTAGCCTGTGTTACACATAATGCTCTAATAGCCTATTCATCTGGCAGTGTTGTATGTTTGCGAGGCAGTAAAGTAACAGAGCCTCTTTATTTGGATAACCGTTTAGACGTGACTGAGCATAAGCTTATCTGATATTCCTTCTTGTTCAAGGTGGTAACTGATCACTCACTCTCTCTCTTTAGCTTGTTTGCTGGCATTGGTTTTGAGACTTGCACATTAGACACATTGTTTCATCATATGGCTAGCTGTTGGCTAACTCTACTTACTGTAGGTCACAAGCAAAATACACGAGGCATCCCTGAAAGCAGATATTCTGAACAAAGACATTCCTATATATGCCTTTGTTTCCACTGACAGGACGTGAAAGGCTGTGTGTAATGACCCGAACACTAAGAGTTGCAAGTGTGGTTTTAGAGAGAAGAAGAATACTCTGGTATCAGCGGCAGTATAGTTCATCCGGTTAAGGGTTGATCTATCACAACAATAATTTTAGAGACATTATTTCAAGATGGAAAACCACACTTTGACAACCAAAATTTTGAAAATCACACTTTGCAGAGAAAAAAAAAAGACATGCAAAAGCTGAATCCACCTCACTTTTGTGGCTTAACCAGTCAAATGTGTAAATTGAAAGCAATTAGGAGATATTATTCGTATCTATCTATCTATCTATCTATCTATCTATCTATCTATCTATCTATCTATCTATCTATCTATCTATCTATCTATCTATCTATCTATCTATCTATCTATCTATCTATCTATCTATCTATCTATCTATCTATCTATCTATCATTTTAAAGTGACAGCCACCTAATGATATACTGTGTCGGCAATATTAAACGTATTAAACAAAGAACAAAAGAAATAAGCATACCATATGCTTAATAAGCTTTAATATGTCAAATTTATTGCATCTATTCAGAATCTTTGTACATCTATACTGTATGTTTGTGCCTATATACAGTACAGTATAAATAGATAATCCGCTCACTGAAAATACATGGCCATATTTCATTTTTTGAATACTTATTTAATGCATTTGACATACAGTAAAGTTTTCATTGTGCATTCTTAGAAATATCAATAGCATTGATATTAACTTTTTATTTACTGAACCGAATAGAGAATTGAATCAATAATGGAATAGATAATTTGTGAACATCTGAATGGACACGCTGCACTACTCACCACACCACCTCTCCCACGTTGGAGGAGATGAGATAACGAATAAACTGCTTCATGTTGTTATAGATAGCTCGTCCCTCTTCCACGGCAGCCACGATGGTGGAGAAGTTATCATCAGAGAGCACCATCTCGGAGGCAGATTTGGCTACTGCTGTGCCCGAGCCCATGGCGATGCCAATTTCAGCCTTTTTTAAAGCAGGGGCGTCATTCACACCATCACCTGTCTAAAAATTAGATTGGAGGAAAGAACGGAGTAAGGGTAAGGGCTTAAAAGACAATAATGAGCTGTTTACATGATGCGTTTAACATTTAAATCATCTTTAACCTTTAACTAAATTGCTGAACAATTTCAATTTTAGAATATTGTTCTACAAGCATTTGCTTCTTATCTCATTTCAATTTAAAACTGAACAAATTTTGAAAAAGTACTCAATTACATTTATTTTCATGAAGGTTTTAAACCAAGTCTAAATGCTAAGGATAAAAATGGTCATTCTTAAAAAATATATTCAAGTTATTACTATTGTATTATTTATTCAAAATTTATTATTATTTTATTTATTCAAAGGTTTTGAGCTCAGTGTGAAAAAACAAAACAAGCAAGAATTCAATAAACATATTTTAAAGACATTTTATTAAAGATTTTCATAACAAACAAATTATTTAATTGATAAAATACTTGAAATGAAGTTAAAAGTTAAAATAATACATTTTTCATTAATATAAAAAGCATGGTAATTTGTTAAATACTTAAAACTTTTGAACATAAATTGAAAAAAAAAAATAAATAAATAAATAAATGACCATATATAAAAATGTCCAATTCATGTGTATGGTACATTCTGTAAAGCCTATCCGAATGAGACACAATCATTGAAAAGAGTGGAGCTTACTAAACAGCCACTTTAAAGTCCATTTGTTTGAAATTAGAGAAACAATGATCAAAAGGTGAATCGGAAAAAGCTTCTTACAGGCTCAGGATTAAACATGAGAATGTTTTTGAAAGAGTAATGTCCAGGAAATACCTCAGTTCCCAAATGCCAAACAGATATACAGTATGCAAACAGAAGAGCTGAGGGGCGAACAGAAGAGCACTGACATGCTCTTATAAGTCTCGCAGGTAAAATCTATTTTATATGAGAACATATATGTGAGAGTTTATAGGTGTTTGAGGTGTCTGATTAAACATAACCATCAGAAAATGTACAAACGTTGCTTAATAATTAATAATTCAGTTCATAATTAATACTAATCATAAATGATGAAGTAAAAATGGAGCAATTCCAAGAGGGTCCTCACAACCAGTGTTGGAGGTAATGCATTAAATGTAGCACGAGTTACAGTACATAATAATATTACTTTTCTAAGTAACGAGTAAAGTAATGCATTGCTTAAAACATTAAGCAATAATATTTGAATTACTTTTTTGAAAATGTACTGCGCTTTACTTTTTATTTGAATTAATTACCTTTTAAAAAATGAATTGCTATATTAAAACATAGTCACACTGAATCATGCACTGAATAAGAGAACGCGTTTATTATTTTGAATGCATTGATTAAACAAAAGGAAAAGGGGACAGTGATTTTACGTAACTAATAAAAAAAGTACAAAGTAGCAAATATAGAGCTTTAAACTTTTATTAATTCAGTATATACGACATGTATAACATGAAGTTCACATATAACATGAAGGGGTCATGAAGTTCTCAGAAAATAACATTATCCTATATAATAATTTTTTATGTGTTGTTTAAGGTAAATGTGTAGGTTATACAGTGTCTTGTGAATTGCAGAGCTCATCTATTTAAAAAAAAAGAAAAAGAAAAAACCCTGCAAGTTCTGAAAGAGATCAAGTCTTACTGCCAGGTAAGAAAAAGTAACGTAAAAGTACTGTAACTTAAAAGTAACTCAGAAGTAATGTACCATAAAAAGTAATTAAGTAACACAAGTTACTTTTTTAGGGAGTAACTCAATATTTTAATTAATCTTTCCAGAAAATAAAGTATATTATCTAGAACTATTTGATAAAGTATATACTATATATTCAAACTATATTAACAAAGTAACAATCTCTTTTTCATCTTTTTTTCAAGCCATGGTTTAGTATGATTTAATGGTTAGTAGAATGTTCATTCTAATTAATTTTGTGTTTAACATTTTTCAGGAATTTCATTGAAATCAATCACTAAGCACTATATCTCACCATTGCTGTAATTTCATCAAAGGACTGCAAATAGGCCACGATCTTTGACTTGTGCGCAGGTTCGACTCTGGCGAAGCATCTTGCTCTCTTCACTGCCTCTCGCTGGGCTTCTGGAGCAAGATCATCAAACTCTCTGCCAGTGTACGCTCTTCCTTCCACATCTTCATTCTCGCTGAAGATGCCGATGCGTCTGCAGATGGCCACGGCGGTGCCTTTATTGTCTCCGGTGATCATGATGACACGAATACCAGCCTTATTGCACAGCTTTATCGAGCCAATCACTTCTTTCCTGGGCGGATCCAGCATCCCCACACAGCCAACGAAGGTGAGGCTCGACTGCACAGATCACATTTGGCATGTAATACAGAACATATAAACTTGCAAATGAAGTGGAATGAGAAAGTATCTGCTCAGTTTTTCTGTATTGGTTTGGCTCATTTCTTGAAACAGAAATTACATTCTCAAAACAACATGGACAAACCTCCAAACCACTTGGCTGTTGTTCACAACAGAATTGAGTTTCTCATTCACTTCATCAAATTGGAAATGTCTAAGTACATCTTTGCAAACGATTAAGTACAGATAGCCTACATTTAGCACAATTTCCAAGTGAATAGATCTTGTTGATCTAAACTGATTGTTAATTCTCAGTCTAATGGTTGTTCTCTCCAATATATGTCAGCGTCATTTTTTATTGTATAAATCATCACATGCACAATAGTCTGTTAATTGTCAAAATTAGTCAAGACCATAATACAATGAATACCATACAGTAGGTGAATCCTTGAAACATTTAAGTACAATTTATTACAGTTATTTATTCTGTTTGCTCTGATATATGGAAGTTACTTTGTGTGTTGTTGATCATTACAATAAAAAAAGGAGTTACCTTTTCCTTGGCGGTATGAGTGCAATGTGTGACTTGTAGGCTACTCTTACCCTAAAATCCCTAATTTCTTTTTTTCAGTTTTATACACAATTGTATTCTGTTCGCTAGACAAATATAGTACAGTAACCATTGTCAATGAAGGACTGGGCTAGGACTGCAATGTAGACATGAGGGATATTTTTGTGGTCATGTGCCATGATGACAAAACATCTAAACATTTTGACTTGCAGTGCTTACACAAAGCTAAAGGGACGAAGCATTTTGAGAGCACTGACTGTTTAAATGAGAAGGAAATTTAGTTTTGAGTGATCTGTTTTGGGAAAGGTATGAGCTTTTGCAAGTGAGCTATAGTGTTGAGCTAAACTGTGACACTGTTTTGCCAAAGGATCTTAGAATTTTAAGAATGAAATTTTAGTTTCAAGAAATGAGTCAAACCAATGGAGAAAAACTGTAATATAAAACTGTTAAAAGAAGATAAAAAATATGAATAACACTAAACTGCAAAACAAGACCAGAAGATTGAAAGGTGCTTTCAAATAGATAATTAACATTACCATCAGAATGCATGTACAAATGTTGCGTCAATACTTCATTATTTAGTTCATAATTAATAAGAATTACGATCAACTGAATAAAAACAGCAATTCTAAGAGGGTCTGGGTTAGGATTGCACAATATTGGAAAAATCTATCATTGCAATATGTTTTTAGTATAGTATGTTGCGTATATTGCTATTTGAATACTATTTCACTAAATGAGTTGAATAACTATTTGGAAATAATTGATAATTTTAGATTGATTGGGATAATTCTGTAGGAGAGTGCATAAAATATAATAAACAATCCACAAGCATAGATAAATTTAATTTTAAAAAAAGATACAAATAAACATAGCAGCCACGTTTTATTGTTTTCCAAGGAGTCAAATTGTATTCAGGTATACAGTGATTGAATAGTCAAATGTAAAATAATACTGCATAGTCTTCATTTTATAAACAATTCAATAAAATTAATTTATTATATTAATTTATCAGAGTAACAAACGGTAGAATTTCATATACCAGACTGCTTTTTAAACCCTCATAAAGTCACATGCCTCGAAAAACTCTTATAATTCAGACTCCACATTGGATATTCTTGCGATGTGACTATTGTAAGTGATCACATTGCAGTATTAATGCTGAAAGGATATATTGTGCAGCCCTAGTCTGGGACCTAAAATGTACGGGTATGTACATCCTGCTTTAAAAGCTGTAAAAGACATTTCTTATCTATTCAACGAATTATTATTAGTTGCATTAATAAAGAATAATAAACATTAATTCAATTCAATTCAATTCAGCTTTATTTGTATAGCGCTTTTACAATGTAGATTGTGTCAAAGCAGCTTCACATAATGGTCATTCATAAATGGTCATTCACATTACTAATAGTAGTTACTATAATTAACTAAACAGTCAGACCTGAATTAAATCATTTGAAAAATTTAATTAGCTTTAATAATTAAATTATTAAAAATACAAAGAATTAAAAATAATTGTAAAAATGTAAATTGTCAATAGAATTTTAATTTCTTTTGAAACTATATTGTTCTTGTTAAAATAGACATGTGCTGGACTTCAGTAATAAAATATACTGCGCTAATGAGTGAATATGCAAGATATTGGTATTGTATGCAATATGACATGCACAAGTAACTGATTGAAAATGTAGCGCATTTCTTCGGTTGTTTGTGTTGTGACATAATGCAGCCCGTTTCTGTTGTTTGTTTTATGAGAATTTGCAACACGTGTGCTGTCAGTCAAACTGATCAAGATCATTTTTTTTATTTGCTTGTGTTTTATGTAATTAAATCTGTTTTCTTAGATTGCAGTGTGTTAAGCTCTCTTGGCCACCGTAAAAATCCCATAAAAAAATATTAAAAATTGATTGAAATTACTATTTATAGGCCCATGGTTCGTTAACACTGTAGAATAAGAATTAATTAATAAACTCATGAAAAAAAAAACCCTACAAAATCATTTATTAATCTAAGGTGACATTAATTTCTTAGTAACTCATTAAATGAATGTCATACTGTATCTGTCTTATTAAATGGAGCTAATAAAAAAATACAAGTATCTCTTATTTCTTTTACTAACATTGACAGTAACTGTAATAAATGTGTCTATTTCACAGTTGACTTTGTAGCACATTTACTAATGACACCTTACTGTAAAGTGTTACCTTTGCTATTTACTGTAACTTAAAAAAAAAAAAAAACATTTGTTTATGTCTGATATAATGTTCTTAATATAATAAAGCAATAAACAAAAGCCTTTGTAGGCATGTTTAAGTAACCTTTTGCAGCTTACAGTAGGTCAATATTGTGATAAAACCATAGACTGTAAAAACGCTTAAATAAAAAAAAAAGTTAAGGCTAGTATGAAAGGTTTCCTTGTTTTATACTTCTTTAAAAATACTTTATGCTTTGATACTTTTTTCTGTCTAACACAAAGTCATCTGAAGTGTTGCTTAAGCTTCCAAAAGCTATTTTGGGTCCCTGCATATTAAATTATAAATAACATATATAATTCATCCAAAGTTTATATAAACCTTTGTGGACAGCAGTCAAGTAAACAGATAACATCTAATATTTCAACACAACTTTCAAACTCTCTCACCTCATACTCTGCGAACTTGCCAGCATTCTCCAGGTCCATTTTATCGACAGCAGGAGGAGAGTCTCGGGTGGCCAAAGCCAAGCAGCGCAGTGTGTCTCTGCCCGTCCCCCAGTCTCTAATGGTGCTCATCAGCTCCTCCTTCACCGCCATCGTCAACGGGAAGCGCTCTTTACCAACACGCACAAACTGACAGCGGTCAATCACGCCCTCTGGAGCTCCCTGCACACACCGCAGCATGTGTGATGAACACAGTTTACTGAGGCTATTACTTACACCTGTTTGTGGATGTGGGTTAAAGTCCCTAATACCTTGACAAACATCTTGCTCTGAGAGTTTGTGCCATTGGGAGTGCAGTACACAGACATCGATTTCCTGTCTCTTGAAAACTCCAGCGTGAACTTTTTCTGCATTAGTTGTCTGATAATCTGGGGGGAAGAAAAAAGAGACAGAAAGAAAGAGAGTGAGAAAGATTATGTTACATTTTAGGTGGAAATTCCACACTGGTCAAAACAACAGTAAGATACAGTACGTACTGTAATTAATCATTAATATTATTAATATTTTATTGTTATTCTTTGCATAAAGTTCTTTGTATAAAGCTTGTATACAGACCTATTCTTGTCTTTTTAAATATAACTGTTTTATTATTAAACAATGTAATGGAAAATGCTTTGGCAATACTGTGCATGTCATGCCAAATAAAACTTTGAGAGAGAGGGAGAGCGAATGATCAAACAAAAGTCAAACACTGCTGCTATAAATGTGTGGGTTCGAGCTGTTTGCTGAATATAAATGAATTGCAGTTTATAGTGAGCATTCAAACCAAGGTGGTTGGAAAAACACAGTGCACAAGATCTTAAACACAGTACAATTACTGAAAACTTCTATGCAATAGTTCACTTGTCTTCTTTTTAGCCTATAAAGTCACTATAAAATCAAAACTGACACCATTTGTTATTGATGCTGCAGTATATTCTTGTGGAGAAATATTTGCCCATTTGAATTCTTTCTCCTATGATAACTTGACTTTTCAACTACTTTTTTCCAACTTTCTCTGCTAGTTAAATTGGTAGGAACTTTAATTTAGTACCATGTATCAAGACTTTAATCAATATGTTAGTCCTTTGGTCAACTCACCACAAGGTCAAATACAAGACACCCCTTTCATTTTTAAGAAGAAAAAAAAAACTTTAACATTTATTAATAATAAAAAACACATCACTCACAATAAGTTTGGAGGTCAGTACATTTTTTTTGAAAGTTTTTAAAAGGCAGCGTTCACCTGATAGAATTACAGTAAAACAGTAATATTACAAAATGTATATCAGTAAAGTTTGATTTTCAACAGCTATTATAGAAATTATTTAAATAGCCTGACTTGCAGCTCAAGAGTTTGTTTTATTATTACTATTGAAAATGGTTGTGGTGCTTCATATTTTGTGGACATCAAAATATTCAGTTTGATATTCTGTGGTGAATAAAATGTTCAAAATATAGATTTTTAGAAATTATTTTCAAATAAAAAAGATGTAATTATTTTAAAATTATGTTGAAATAATTTATTTTATAACATTATATATAATTTTACTGTTGTGTTGACCAGTTTATTGTGTCCTTGCTGAATATCAAGATCTAGTACTCTGTGTATGCATTAACAAAAAAATATATATAATACAAATATTAAAATAATTAAAATAACTTATAATTGTTTTTTTGTATATATCCTCATTTTTAAAATATTTGTTGGATGGAATCCATACCATACCTCAACCTTTTCCGATTTTGAATTGAATAAAAATCCTGATATGCAGAACATTTAGTGATGTAAGAGCATGATTTTGCCACTAGGTGGAAACCCCCTCCTGCACATGAGAAGTATTTACACTGCCATCCCTGCAGTCCATCAGTGCAGCTCTGTCTGTGCTGTTCTTTTACACTTAGATCAGATGATGTACTCAGTCACTCTACATATGTTTAGATAAGGTGTACGCGTGAGGAAAGAAAAAAAAAAAAAACTCTGAGTTTTTCAGTCAAATTCCCTGATCCTGCAAGAATATCACTCTTCAGCAGGGTTCGCCATCTCACACACACACACACACACACACACACACACACACACACACACACACACACACACACACACACACACACACACACACACACACACACACACGTGTCCTGAAAAAAAAAACACACCCCAGAACCTTCTTCCATCCATTCACATGCCTATGCATCTATCTGTCATCTTTGAAAGCTTGCCACCAGTGGCTATTGACAGAAATGCCTCTCTTCCGTTTTCGTAGGCCAGTAAAGTTTTGGACTGGAGTGGAAAGTTTAGCTAACCTCTTCATAAACTCCCCGGTTATCTAAATATTATGCTTTGCCTCTGGGAGTCTGTGTCACACAAGTTTCTTTTTTGGAAAGAAGAAGCATTTAGGGGTCAGCAGAAGAAAGAGAACGATGCTGGTCATTCACTCTTCCAGGGAAAAATGTTTTCCCAAAGGGAAAAAGCCCACTGTTCCCAGTCTCCCTCATGCAGCAGTGTGGGACAAGTGACTGCTTTCTATAAACATCTGCAAGTGTGCGGAATCTTTAAGCCCTTTTCTCGGTCCTTTTTTAAAACATCAACCTGGAATTTAATAATGACGATAGTCATAACATAAATTAATATATCAAATTATACAGCAGCTTTTCCTATTTGATAATCACTCTTTATGTACTCTGAACGTAAAAAGTTATTTTAAAACTTTTTTATTTACAGCAGTGTCAGTCGGAAGTTGGTAGGTACAAATTTGTATTAATTATTCATTGTAATATAGTGAGAACTGGTCAGCTTTTTAGAGACCAGGTATCTGGCTGACCAATCAGGTTTAATTCACCCCTTCCTATGTGCTTTCCCCAGCTGTGTGTTTGTTAGATAATGTACGCACATGTGCATTTGATAAAACACTAATCAACAAATTATTAACAGTAGTAATAAATAATAATAAACAAATGTGTAGATTGCAAATTAACATAAATAAAATGTATTGCTTTAATAGCTGTTAACTGACAATAACTATAATTATAAATGATAAAGCGCAAATCTGAAATAGTCTATATTGAATTATTTCAAAGGCCGGTAATGTCTCAGGACAGTAATGACAGATCTTAATAGAAAAGCACATTGGTTACTTGTGGTTTTTCATACTTTAGGTAGGGGATTTTCAAAATATATTCAGTGGTGCGTGTCTGAAGGGTGTGCAAGCAGCATTGGATGATTGATATATATATATATATATATATATATATATATATATATATATATATATATATATATATATATAGAGGGAGAGAGAGAGAGAGAGAGAGAGAGAGAGAAAGAGAGAGATAGCTCTGCACCGCTGTATTGATTATGCATGTTATAAGCAAAAACTAAAAAATTCTATATATATGTGTGTGTGTGTGTGTGTGTGTGTGTGTGTGTGTGTGTGTGTATATATATATATATATATATATATATATATATATATATATATATATATATATATATATATATATATATATATATAAACAGAGAAAAGCAGGGGGTGTTTAAAAGAACTGACTGCTAGTTTCAGTGACTTACAGCACTTCGAGAAACCCATGCTATGAGGGACTGTCTAATGGAGAAATAGCCCATAATGAGCAGACAAGACAACCAGTGTAAAAGAAATTTCAATAACCAATTTCCAATAAATAAAAAGCAGAAAAAAGTCATTAATTACAAATATTAATTATAAGTACAAGTAAATACAATAGTATTTTAGTAAACGTGCAACAAGAAGTCAACAAAACCCTCAGTTAATAAAATGAATTAATTCACCATTCAAAGAAACTGAAAAAAAAAACAGTTAAGAAATCCATTAATCTGCTTGTTTTTTATTTATTCATTTTTTTAAGTTAAGCAATGATAAACTAAACTAAAACATCATAAATATTTACTACATAGTTACTGTAGTATTGTATTAGTAGCAGTAGTAGAATAACTAAAAAAAACACAAAGAAAAAACACTTTGTCTAAAGCCTCAACTATACCTCTCTCTATATATATCTATCATTTCTCATCACTTTCAGCAGAAGTAATGTGCTCTTTTATTTCAGTTGGTCTCATATCCTCCTGCACCCTGTGGCTCTTTCTTACCAAGTTGCAAGCTGCAGCTCTGTCCACTTTACTGAGTCCAGATAGGTCTGTTTTAAACACGTTCATCTTCTCCACCAGCGTGGTGAGTGCGGTTTCCGTGGCTTCTCCCACTTTCTCATACACTCCTTTGGCCTGTGGTACAGAATAAGAACATAAGTGTGTAAACAAAATATACAGTACTGGTATATTCATTTTAAACACAAGCCTGGAGTCAAGCACCCACTTTTGAAATGATAGTTGCTTTGCACTTTAAATGTCAAACGAAAGCAATAAAGCAAATAAGCAAGTAAAAAGCAATGCAACCTCATACTGTATAACTGTATAACATTAAAATTAGGGGTCAGTCAATTTGGTCACACTTTATTTTGATGGTCTGTTTGTTGAATTTAAGTTACATTGCAACTAATTGTCATTGTCATTGATGGTTTTTACCATCAAAATTGTTACATTTTTAAACATCAAAAGTGTTACCGTCAATTTTCATGTCATTTTAAGTAGTTTTGAAGATTGAAAGAGGATTTTAAAAAGGAAAAAAAATCCATATCAAGATTTTGATGGTTAGGTAAACAGTTAATAAATTGCATATGTTTGATGAAAATAAATGAGGAAAATCCATGTACATTAATGCTCAGATAATGCTCACTAAGGCTTTATTTAATTGACAAAATAGACATACATATGTAAAAACAGTCATCTAAAATAATAATTTCCATTATTTCTTTTAATTATTATTAATATATTTTATAAAATAAATATTTTTCCTGCATAAACTGAATTTTCAACATCATTACTAAAGTTTCAATTCCACATGATCCTTCAAATGTCATTTTAATTTCCTGTTTGGTTCATAATAAACATTTATTATTATTTGATTTGGTTTTCAGACTACATGATTAATAAAATGTTAAATAGGTCAAGATACAAATTTATGTAACATGTTTATATTGTCACTTGTGCTAAATTAAATTTGAATTGGAAAAAAAAAGACATCAAAATTTTAGTGATCATTATTTGTTAATGCAAATCATTTCAAAGTTCAAAGATTTTAATTTAGTTTAATTGTAAGTACCAATCTTTAGAATTTACAGATTTCACTTATTAAAGTTTGTAATGCACCAACGAAACCAAAAACATAAAGTGATTTAACATGTGGAACATTTTAATTAGATGTAATAATCAAGGCAGCACAGTGGCGCAGTTGGCTAGCACAATCGGCTCACAGATAGAGGGTCACTGGTTCGAGCCCCGGCTGGGTCAGTTGGCATTTCTGTGTGTAATTTGCATGTTCTCCCCGCATTCCTGTGGGTTTCCACCGGGTGCTCTGGTTTCCCCCACAGTCCAAAGACATGTGGTATAGGTGAATTGGGAAGGCACAATTTTCTGTAGTGTGTGTGTAAATAAGTTTTGTGTGAAAGTTTCCCAGTGGTGGGTTGCAGCTGGAAGGGCATTGGCTGTGTAAAACATGTGCTGGGTAAGCTAGTGGTTCATTCCACTGTGGCGACTTTTTTTTTTTACCAGTAAATATTTTAGAATGCACAATGAATATTCAAACTGATATTTCCTATAGAATTGGTTTACAGCTATTTACTGTAGATAACGTTTGGTAAAGATATTGTAAAAACAGTGAAAGCATTAACTAACTACTTAATGAAATCTTGTAATTTATTAGTTACACTATTTATTCAATAAATATTTATGAACTTATGTTTATGATTAGATCATTTTAGCTAAGTTCAATCCATTAACAAATATTTTTTAAAGAATGTGTTATAAAAAAAGAAAGATTTAGATTCACAAATGATTTTGAACTGTTTTCATTGTTAGTTCATATTTATTAATGTAGTTAAACAATGTTCATAAATGAAGCTTTGTTATAGCCTGTTAGTGGTTTATTTTAAATTTTCATGACTTCCAAAACCATCTATCTCTCACAGTTTATTCAAGCCTCTAAAGTTCACAGTTCACTTCATGACTCTCTCTTTAGAAATATTTGCATTATTCCAGGAAGGAGTCTGCTGTGGTAGAGGAACATGACATTTGATCAGATAGTGAACCATTTATCATATTTATCAAAACATGGCCGGAATACACTGAGAGTACAACTGTGTTCAAACACCTCGCTAGTTACAACAACCAGTGCCATTTATTATTACTCTAGCGATGACCTTAAACTCTTCAACATTAGATCAGAGCTTCCTTCAACAACAAAAACACGTTTTAAAAATCTCCGGCTTGTCTTAACTTGCGGCTGTCCTTTACCCAACCTGACAACCACAGAGTATAAATGATATTACGTAACGCTGTAAACACGATACCATGGCAATGGCACAGAGGTGAGAAATGCAAGGCAGAGGTACAAAACAAGCAAATTAATAAGCTGTCGTTCAGCAGAGTGAACACTTCTAAGAGCAGAACAGGACTTGAAAATACCGAATGAGGCACATTGTTGAAACCAGAAAGGTAAATATTGTAAGGAGAAGATTCAAGCACACGTTACTGACCTCATTATAGTCCAGCGAGGAGTCGTTGCACAGGGAGCAAATAGTAGCCAGTTCCACCAGGCCATCATAATCTCCACACTGCACCTGCTTGTCAGCTTTCAGCCTGAGCGAGACACAGTCAATGCAAGATCAAGTGATGGAAATACAAAGTTAGTATCCAGGATTTTGGGTCGAACTGAGCAGATATTTTGGGAAGGATGAGAATGTGTGTGTTTGTGTACTCTTACACTTCTCCCTCTGGAGCGTATGTTGAGCCGCTGATGGTGAACTCGTGCAGGGAGCAGCTGCTGTCATCAGCTTTATTGACCACAAACATCTAGAGGAGACACCAGAGAGAGGAGATGCACTTCAGGATTCGCTCTTCTCTTGGACAATCAATCTACTGTATTTGACTTTTTTCAACCCGTTGTTCATGATGATTCGAAAAGGATCTCATATCTAAATTATTTTAAGGAGACTACACTCGTAATATCAAGATGATTCAATATTTTGTGTTATTTGAACATAAATTGAGGTTGAATAAGGATGATCCACTGACCAGAAAAGTCACCAGCCTTTTTGGGACCAAAACATGCATTTGTTTGTTTGTTTGTTTATTTTAAACAACGATAAAATAGTTTGGGTGAAAGTTTTGTCAATTCATTTTTGAAACTTGTTCAAAGTGTTCAAAGTGATCAATGGCTTGTAGGGAGTAATATTTTAAAAAATGTTTATGTAAAATAAATAGTAATTTGTTAAATAAATTAAATGCTTTTAATATATTTTTTTTAAAATATATTTTGATCCTTTGATGGTGGAGTTGAATTTTAAGCAGCCATTACTTCAAACAAAAGTTTAGTGTTAATAATATATTGATAACAATGATAACAATAAAGATAATTCTAATAATGATGATGATTTTGATGACAATATTATTAATAATAATAATGAGGATGGTGATGATTATAATAATAATAATAATAATGATAATAATAATAATCATAATATATATGACAATAATTATAATAATGATAATAATAATAATGATAGTAATGATAATAATCATAATGATGATAATAATAATGATGATGATAATAATGATATTATTATTATTATTAATAATAATAATAATAATAACAACAACAATAATAATTATGATAATAATGATGCTATTAATGATAATAATGATGATAATAATAATGATGATGATAATAATGATATTATTATTATTAATAATAATAATAATAATAACAACAACAATAATAATTATGATAATAATGATGCTATTAATGATAATAATGATGATAATAATAATAATAACACAGATGATGATTATGGTAATAATGATAATGATAACAATAATATGATAATAATAATGATAATGATTATAATAACCATGATAATAATAATAAAGATGATAATAATAACAATAGAACTAATAATAATAATGATGATGATATTGATGATAATAAAATAATAATAATGATTATGATTATAATAATAATGATAAGAATAATACTGATGATAATGATTATAATAATAATGATAATACTACTACTGTACTACTACTACTACTAATAATAATAATAATATAAATAATAATAACAATATTAATATCGATGATAATAATAATAATGTTCAAAGTAGTTTCTACTATCAAACAGACTGACTGAAAATAATATTAAAGCTAGAAACTAAATAATATACTGTAGATATTTTTCATTAATTTCCTTTTAATTTGCAGGCCATAAGTTTACCAATGAAAAGTGGCTATTGCAGTATAAGTTGGAAAACAACGAAGAGATCTGTGGATACTAAAACATGATTTAAAACAAAAAAGTTCTCATCAGCATATGACAACAGCTACAAACCTCAACTACATAAAAAACAGAAAAGAAGAAAAGAAAACAACCATCAACAGACAGTTATGACTCCACCCAATCAGCGCTGGGGTTTCCCTCATCCTGCGTCCAATCAGAGGGAGAGCAATTACATCATAATGCACTGGCGGTGGGAGGTTCCTGTGTTTAGTGGCCTGGCATGAGCTTGTCTCTCTGAACCAGCACACAACTGCCAACAGACAACACTGTCTACAATAAACCACTGCCTCCTACAGAAACGTCTGCTTTCACTGGACCCAATCAAAACAGAGGAGTGGACAAGAGTGTAACCAATCGCTTTACCCATGTTCTGGCTGACATTTATCCAATTTTATGATAATTAACCCCAGACGCTGCACAGTTTTGTGTTGTCTTTGTGGCAAAATTCTACTGCATGAATGAAGAAAATCAAGTGATTCTGGTTCCTAGAGTAAACACCAACAAAAAGAGCTGGACGACACAAGAGGTGAGGATGAGTTCAGCTGACAACATTGGCCAAACCCATAATGCAATGCTTCAGTGTTTTTGTCAGAGTCTTTGTCATGACATTTATCATGCTGAAATGAGGCAGCAGGCGTAGTTGCAGCCCTGGGCGAGTTTCAGGAGAAAAAAAGAAAAGAAGAGATGTTATTTCCTCACCATCCTGTTCCTCCAGTGTATGAAACAGGTGGATGGTGGAATGAAACTCATAATAAAGCCAATTTAGCCAATGCCATTGATCGCAGACCCTAACTTTCAGTTCGGTTGACAGCTCTGAAATGGAAGTGCACGCTGGGAATGAGGAAAAATGAGTCCCGAATCTTACGAGCCACCGTAAATAGTGATTATGCAGTAGGTGGACTTGCTGAAATGTGTTTTATCATGATTGAAAGCCACTGCGGTCGGTTTCAATAATAGCATAGACAGTAAAATATACACACAAACAAATTCCAAAAATAGGTTATGCAGTCAGCACTCAAAACGAGGCACCTAAAAACAATCATCTTAAACATACACAAGCGCAAAGGGAAAAACATTCTCTTGGCGTGACTTCACTCGGAGCAAGACTCCATTACATGTGTCTGATTAAAGAGTTAATGAAGCAGTTAACTGTAAAACTTTCAGGGCTCCGCAGTACTTCTGCTTCCTGTTTGAAAAGGACGCACACACACAAAACTTAATTGTGGAAAACACAAAGCGAGCAGCAGGCAGCAGCAATCAGAACACTGCATCATGCCCTTAAGCCCTTAAAATAAATGGATTATTGAGTTAGCGTGCTTTGTAGAAAACAAGTCTTTCAGATAAAAAAAGTGACTTTATAAAGTGACCAAAGTATTGAGCAACTTCTGGTACAGACACTGTGCCATTTCTTTGCATCTATGCTGCATCTAGTGCTTTAAGGATAGCATTAAATGGTATATTAGGAATATTACAGCATGAGACGAGCTGATGCTAACCAGAGGTTGCGAAAGCAGCATGGTTCTCTTTTCTGAAAAAGCTCTATTTTTGTGGTCTTACAAGACGCAGGAATCTGTGCCGCTCGATTTCCACACTCAAACACCGTGCAAACAGACACTGTCAACTGGGAAAGAGGAGGAAAAGGAAGAAAATTAGTTCCAGTTGCCTGTCTACTATAGCAGCGTACTCTTTGACATTGGAAAGCTTGACTTCCTGCATGTTTGTGAAGTGAAAAAGCTCTGCTTGGTTGTAATGTCATCTTTAGGTATTTACAGGCCTTCACGTCAGCCCTATAACTTTACAGAAACCTTTACAGTTCTCCAAACATACTTTACCCACAACTCTCCATTACCACTCACTGCATGAAGTATTTACCCACATATTCAGCTAGAAAATGTCAAATTAAGATGAAAGAAAACGGTTTCCCAGTACTGGGTTGCGGGGGAACGGGGGGAGTGGCATCAGCTGCATAAAACATATGCTGAAATTGCTGGTGGTTCATTCCACCGTGGTGACCTCTGAAACAGAGACTAAGCCGAAGGAAAATGAATGAATGAAATCAAGAAAATAATAATAGAAATAATAGGATGAGGAAAAAGTGCGCAGACTCTGTATAACTAGATATTTGTAATCTGTTTTAGGATTTGATGTGGACATTTTCAGCTCTCAAGTAATGACTGTTAGGAAAAATATAAAACACTGTTGTTTAATACTGTAAAGCTGCTTATCTACAGGATAAAGTGATATACAGTATAAAACCCTGGACAACAAAACCAGTCATAGCTGTCTTTTTAAAATTATGCTGAATAAATAAACTTTCAATTGACGTAATGGTTGGTTAGGATAACACTATGTTTGAAAATATCTAAAACATTTAAAATATGGGTTCAAATGTATCTAAATATTTAGAAAATCCTTTTTAAAGCATCCTCTTTATGATATAGTTACACAATATATTTATAAAATATGACCTTTACTTAATATTCTAATGATTTTTGACATACTGTACAAGCAAAATATATCCTTTGGACCCATACAATATATTTTTAGCTATTGCCAAAAATATAGCCATTTAAAGTAAGACTGGTTGTGAGGTCCAGAGTCAGATACTGTATACATAAACGTTACTGTGGATGACTTGAGTGCCAAATTTCCAAGCTTGTGCAAATACTATTACATGCTATTCTCAGATGCTTTCCTAACTCCCCAACAGTAATTTCCTGTTTAATGTTTTTTATGTTTATTTTGCTATTGAGGAACATGTAGTACATGTTTACAAATGTATAAAAATGCCACATGTTTTTCAAAACCTATTTTTACCCATAAAAAATAATGTTTACAACTATTTTACACTAACGGTCGCTTTATTAGATACACCTAATATCCAACATATCTAACTGCTTGTTGACGCAAGATTCTAATTAGCCAATCACATGGCAGCAACTTAATGCATTTAGGCATGTAGAAATGGTCAAGACTATCTGCTGCAGTTCAAACCAAGCATCAGAATGGAGAAGAAAGGTGATTTAAGTGACTTTGAATGTGGTTTGGTTGTTGGTGCCAGATGGGCTGGTCTGAGAATTTCAGAAATTGCTGATGTACTGGGGTTTTGCACAAACATCTCTAGGGTTTACAGAGAATGATCCAAAACAGAAAAAAATATTCAGTGAGTGGCAGTTCTGTTGGAGCAAATGCCCTGTCCCAAATTTGCAACATGGATGTGTAGCCGACAAACCTGCAGCAATTGTGTGATGCTTTCATGTTAATATGGACCAGAACCTCTGAGAAATATTTCGAGTACCTTCTTGAATTTATACCACAAAGTATTAAAGCAGTTCTGAAGACAAAAAGGGGTCCAACCCGGTACCAGTAAGGTGTACCTAATAAAGTGGCCGGTGAGTGTATATCATTTATTTACTATCAAATTGGTAAAAAAAAAAAAATTCAGTTTGCAATTTATTCCCAAATTGAGTAAAAACTGATCAATATGTACTATATTCCAGTACTTCTGTAAAATGCA